CAGGAGCAAGTGTTCGTAGCTTGCATTCCAATTTCAGCAGGTGCTTCCTGAAAGGCTTGACACTAGATCCACAGTAAGATGTCAGCTGATGAACAACTGCAGTATTGCTCAAGACTTGGAGTACAAGCATTTTTTAATATCTGTCAGCTGCATTCACAAACAGCAAAGCTTACTATCTTGACTGTGACAATGCTCAATTACAGTGTATATAAATATACAAGCACCTTCATTCCATTTTAGTCTCCTTCCAGACACTGTACTCCTTCATGGAGTCAGATACTCTTTTAAGTGTAAGCCTTACAATTACAGCACTGAAAGCTATTCTTGCCATCAGTGACACAGAATCATAGAATGTCTCAAGTTAGAAGGGACCCATAAGGATCGCTGATTTTGACTCCCTAATGTTGATATTCTACCTGCTCGTCTTATCACTAAAAAATTGTGACCCTCAAACCTGATCTAAACTTGCAACAAGAGCCCAGAGCTCAGCTGATTAGAAGTTGAGCTCACATCAGCCACAGCTTAGAAGGTCCAGAGGATCTAAGCCATTATTCATTTATGTTTGATTTCGTGCCAAATTCAGATAAGCAGCAAGAGGAGCAGGACACCTTCTAGATCTTCTGATTCATTTATACGTCCTACAGAAAGGAGAATTTCCTGGAAACACTTACCAATAAAGGAAGGCTGGAATAAGGTTTCAGGGCAGCGGAAACGTTCGTTACCAATTGTGATCACTTGCCCGTCAGGCAATTCATAGCTCTTTTCCAGAGAGGAGGAAGAGGCAGCAGTGGCCATTTCATTCTCAAAGTCCAGAGCAACATAGCACAACTTCTCCTTGATATCACGAACAATCTCACGTTCAGCTGCAGATAGATGGGAAAAAAATCAAGGTTTGGATAAGCAAAATACTACCGGAAGAAGATGGGCCAAGAGAGATATGAGGATTTTCACAGGAGGGTAAAGCTGAAGGACTGACCTGTTGTCACAAAGGAGTAGCCACGCTCTGTGAGGATCTTCATGAGGTAGTCAGTCAGATCCCTGCCAGCCAGATCCAGACGCATGATAGCATGAGGCAAAGCATAACCTTCATAAATAGGTACATTGTGGGTGACACCATCGCCAGAGTCAAGAACAATACCTGGGAGAGAAATTTCAGAGAGCAGCTGAAATCACCTAGAAAATGCTTAGAGCCCTTAGGCGCAGTAAGCAGCAACAGACATCACAAAATATAGTATTTTCAGGCAGTATAAAGTAGCATCATTCTATTTTAGCCATAAAGATCTTTCACATTCCTTCCACCTTTGCTTGCCTGGACATTCCTGTTTGGTATGAACTTTCCCTTAAAACAACTGTTCTGTACATATTGTAAGCTAATCCATAGGAGCAGTAACTACATCTGCAACAGTGATTGTCTTGATCTGATATGAGCATCTTTTGGGTCCAGTTGAAACTCTTAAACTGGCATAACACTTGTATAACTGCAGTACATTCACAGGACTGTCTCCTTGTTTGTGTCGTGACAAGTGGAAGGAGAGTCAGTGCCCCTCCAAAAGCAATGCACACAGGTCCACACTGTTCATGAACTACGTTGTAGGGGCTTTTCTGTTATTCTTTCATCAATTACTAAAAACTAAAAATGCCTAGTTCTCTGTAAATTTGAATGAGTTACGGTTGGTTTTCTTCCCACTTGCAGTGGGAAGGAAGGAGAGTTCCTGAAAATAAATATTTAAATAGTACTTAATTGTTTATTTTACCTGTTGTACGACCAGAGGCATACAGGGACAGGACAGCCTGGATCGCCACGTACATAGCAGGTACGTTGAAGGTCTCAAACATTATCTGGGTCATCTTTTCACGATTAGCTTTAGGGTTCAAGGGGGCCTCTGTGAGCAAGGTAGGGTGTTCCTCAGGGGCCACACGGAGTTCATTGTAGAAGGTGTGGTGCCAGATCTTTTCCATGTCATCCCAGTTGGTGATGATGCCATGTTCAATGGGATATTTCAAAGTGAGGATACCTCTTTTGCTCTGAGCTTCATCACCCACATAGGAATCTTTTTGACCCATACCAACCATAACACCCTAAGAGAGGAAAATACAGAAAAGCATTATTTGAGGGAGTCAACACCACAGAGCTCAAACTATTACATCACAGGCAACCATGCTATTTACAAGAAAGGCACAAGCAGTCTCACCACTAAAAGGTTGTTTAGGAAAAGAAATTAGCATTAGAAATTAGCAGAATTTGAAGTTTACTAATAAAATCACAGAATCACAGAATCCCAAGGGTTGGAAGGGACCTCAAGAGATCATCTGGTCCAACCCCCTGCAAGAGCAGGGTAACCTAGAGTACATCACACAGGAACTTGTCCAGGCTTCCCCCCCACCCCACCCCCCTTTCTTTTAATTGTCATCTTATTTTCAACTACTTCTTTCTGGTCCAAAAGTTTGACTGAAAACAAACTGCACAATATCAGGAGCAGGAAAAGACAGACATAACAAAAAGACTTTATGAATGAGAAGGTACAGAGGGAAATTAGCCTTCTAGTGAAGGAAGATGCTCCATATTACTATGAAGCCTCATCAACACTTTATTCATGATAGCAAAATACAAATCACAAACACGTGGAAAGTGTCACTCGTACCACTGCAAGAAGTGAGAAGAGGAAAGGGCAAGACAGAAGAACAGAGGGAAGTGGCTAGTGGAGGCAACTCCTGGAGAGAGGGGGAAGGCTCTGTCCTGCCGTGGGCCTGCCTTCGTATTTACCTGGTGCCTGGGGCGGCCGACGATGGATGGGAACACGGCCCTGGGGGCATCATCTCCGGCAAAGCCCGCCTTGACCAGCCCCGAGCCGTTGTCGCACACCAGTGCGGTGGTTTCCTCGTCGTCACACATCTTCGGAGGGAGGCACGGATCTGAAAAACAACGTGGTGGCTTGTCCATACCCCCGCGGACAGCCCCTCCGCGCCCTCCCGCCCGCCACCTCGGGAGACACCGGCGGCGGCGGACCGACGGCGGGAGCGGGAAATGCAGCTCGTCCAAGCAGGATGGTCGATGGCTCAGCCACGATCCTGGGCAGCACTTTAGACGGAATCCGTCCGCTGCTTCGAACTGCGCCCCAGCTTGCAAGACGCTCAGTAGGGCACCATTAGCGGTGCCCTCGAGCAGCGGGTTTAAACGGCAGGGGAAACTTTTGAAACCAGGGAGATCGGTCTTGCCCATAGCGCTTCACCGGCGGCGAGGCATCGTGCCCCGGCGGGCAGCGGCGGCTGGCGGGGCGCGGCCGGTGCCGCCGGCAGAAGTAGCGCTAAGCCAGGAGGTGCACAGGCTGAGTAGCGGCTGTACCTGCACCACCGACATCCGCTGCCCGCCGGTGTGCCCCGTCCCGTCCCATCCCATCCTATGCCACGCCATGCTATGCCTTGCCATCCCATCCCATCCCGCCGCACTACTCACCAGACCAGCACCAGCGGCGGGGGGCTGCGGAGGAGAGCCTGGGTGCCGGCTCTGTGGAGACGCCCCAATTTATACGGACTGAGGGGCCGCTCCGGCCGGTCCGTCGCGGGACGGGGCAGCCACCTTCTCCTTATTTGGTCGGCTCCGCGCCACTGAGCGGCCGCGCAGCCATGAATGGAGCCCGGCCAGCCCGGGCGCACGGCCCATGTAAGGCAGGCGAGGGGCAGCGCGCCCCCGGCCCGCCGCATGGCCAAATAGGGAGACCCGCGCACCCCTCGGGGCGGGGGGCGGCCCGGGCTCCACTCGGCTCGGCTTGGCTCCCGCGACCCGGGGTGTCAGTGCCCGGAAACGCGGCGCATAACGGCGGAGCCGGTGTGTCCGGGCGAGGTCAGGGGGAGCCGCACGGTGCTGCTGCTGCTGCTGCCCGGTGCTGTCTGTCCCGGTGAGCGGTTTTCCACCGAAAACCAGCCGGTCGGGCTGCTTTTCAGCCAGCGCCCCGTGAGGTTGCTTTGACACCAACAACTGAAGTTCTCCCGCTGCGTGAAGGCAGCATCTGTGACCCGTGCTGCCCCAGGACGGAGCAGCTCACGTTCAGGCTCTTTCAAACTTTGAAGGGCACGAGAGGCAAAAATCCTGCTTGTCTCTGGTTTTGAATGACACCTGTAGCACAAAACGGGGTCTGCTCATTTATGTCAATATGCACACACTTAAACTCCCCGGTTTTGCTCTTTTAATGTGAACTGTATCAGTAATACGCAGTGATATGTATGGGATGGAGGATGAGAGATGGGAATAGCCTGGACAAAAACCATCTATGATATTAATGTAATGTGGCAGTTGTTTTCCTGCTCAGTTTCTGAAACATCCACATTGATAATTCGTTCCAGCAGTGGAACCTAGAAAATCCATGTATCTTCAGGATTTTATTTATTTATTTATGTATTTATTAAGTTAAAAATAGAAAGACTGGAGAGGCATCCCTTGTGTGGGCTTGGCCTGGTATGTGAATGCAGAGACTGTCCACTTGTGTCCCTGAGGAGCTGCATTATAACATGTAGTGCAGTGTCCTTTAGGAGCTCAGTGTACAAAACTGCCCAACGTCCATCTGTGTAAAGCATAGCAGACGAAAAAGAACTGAGGTTTGGGACAGAAGTGAAGGGTGGGATTTACAGATCAAGAGGGGAACACTAGGTAAACTGGATCAGCAGCTTAAGTTCTAGCTTATTAGATGGCAGCCATCACGCAGTTATATACATCTTCAACGAGGTGGAACAAAAGAGCTTGTGAATGCAATCCAGCGTCAGTTCGGAGGCTCTGGTGGGTGCTGGTGTAAGAGCTATCCTTGCACTGTGGTTTGGCTCTGACAAAGGCGTCCAGAACTGGAAGTCGCCAGCTACTCATTTCTAAAGGCTACTCATTTCTAAACTGTATCTAAAGGGGGCGTCAGAGACCCTTCGACTTTTAATTTCGTCTGAAATTGGAGATAGTGGTATCAGTTTCCTCGTTTCTAGAACAATTACTGGCTGGTTAACTCCACCCCAGGCACAGTTTATCTGGACGTTGTGCCCGATTATGAGCTCAACTCTGAAGCAGATGTAGCAACAATTTTCTTGGCCATTGACAGCTTCTGCTTTTCTTTAAATGCCTTGAGGAGAAACAACCTGTTTCAGGTGAGAGACTATTTGTCTGTAAAGGTGTATGTATGTATATTTCATACGTGTGTATATACATATAAATATGCACATATCTGTTATATATGCATGTATATAGCTGTGTATATATACATATGTATGTATTACATTTTTTTCTTAGCTACCTAAGAAAGGAAGGTGAAATACAGTGACCTCAAAAGGTCAAAGCAGGGAAAAACTGCTTCAGCGCCTCTGCTTTGGACAAATTTTGGCTCTTTGTTTTCCTAGTATTGATAAATACGTTACCATATGCTGCTTTCAAATAAAAAACCAAGTCAGCATCTTTTACTCCATGGTAAGTTGCCATACATAATTTAAATCTGCTTCTTTTTTTCCCTAGAACATCTTTGCTCAGAAACCCTCTAATGTGAGGGATTGGCCAGCCTCTCCGGCACTAGAGATTGGTTTACAGTGTTATCTCAGCTGTTCCTCGGCTCAGAGGTGTTACAGTATTTACATAGAAGCCCGTTGCTGATAGCTGCATTGAATTCCTCCCCAATCAGATTCTCCCTGTCACATCCTACATTCCCTTTGGCTAGAGAGGCAGACGCTGCTGCAACTGAGACAAAGCCATCCCTTGCTGCAAAATCTACACCAAACAGTCTGTATTTTCTTGCTTACTTTGTAAAAAATTACTGCCTTTTTCTACTCTTTCCTCAAGTTTTAAATTTCCAGGACTCACATATAGGATCCTGGTAGACATGAGAGTTTATCAATCCACACACACCCCTGGCACATTACAAGGTCAAATGAAAAGGGCACCACACAATGTACGTAAATCCCAAATTACATCTGTTTCCTTGTAGCAACTGAAAAAGTACCCAGCTAATGTTATTCCATTGGCCAAATCATTCTGCTTTCTGCATTGAAACAATATTACAGCCTCAAATAAACCAAACAAGCAAAGAAGCAAAACCCTACTGAAGTACATTATGCAATGTCATCTAGAGGAAAAATACTCCAGCATCTGACTGGTCAGTGTCCCTGCATGCTGTGTACATTTCTCATGACTTAGGTATTGGAGTGAACCCGAAGACAAAGGCAATGAAGGCAGTATGGAGTGTCAGCAGAGCAGAGAGATCTGCAGTGGGCATGATCTGCATGTGCCCCAGAACAGCCTGAACACACAAGAGCATGTAGCCTCAGTGTGTACACAGTATTAAAGGGGTAGTAAAATAATTTATATATGTGTGGCACATGCACATGGGCAAAAATGGACATGTTATTCAACCAACAAAACGCTGCTGTGACTGCAGCCAAAATCAAAACAGTTCTTGCCTCTGCATGGTTAAAATGTGAATTAAAAAAAGACACTGTGATCTTATGATGCCTAGAAATCCCCACAACTGCTTCTCAGCTGTAAATGAAAAACATTCAGCTTAAAAATAAAGCCTTGATTCTTCAAAACCCGTAAAGCATAGAACACTTGTTACCACTGACTTTAGGTTATTTACAGTACTTAACATTGCATTCAGAAATGAAAATGTGTAGGATCAGGTGCTCTATTTTTTTTTCCCTTATCCTTTCAGATTATTTTTTTATTATGTGTACATGTTCCAATAAAAAACAATAAACTTCTCATAATGCACCAAACCATTGCATGTACAGTATACCTTTACCTAGCAGGTCTTAAAGCAGACAACTGCTCACTTAAAATCTTCTATTTCTAAGCCCAATGAATTATGACACATAAAATCTGTCCTAGCACAGAGCCAAATGTTACCTCTCTTAAGCCTTAGGCCAGCATAATCTTCAGCAGAAATTTTACTTTTTCAAGAATAAGAAGCAAATGCCACTCTGACAGGTTTTCTTTTGTCTCATAGCAGCTGTTTGGAGCTATAAGGGCTTTAGAAATACAAGCAGCATTGCAGCAAAGTCGTATTGATGGGCAGGAGTCTTGATGAGATGGGAATGCCAAACATACAGTGTATGATGAATATCACTGTCACAAACTAGTCACTGTCACAAAAGAGTCATACATGGTTATCTATGTCTGTTGTAGTAGTGAATCTGTCTCTGTGTTCATGCAGACACACAAAGAGAAGCCAGAAAAGACAGATCTTCAGTCACCACCAACCTGAAGCGGTTCCCTGTGAAAAGCTCTACTACACATTGCCAATTATATTTTCAGCCTCCCAAGTGAGAAATCCTTCTCCTGTCCTGCTAGAGGACAGCTTCCCAATTTAATAAACACACTGTCAGGAAAACTTCTCCAGAGAATTCATCAGGTATTTCCCTTTCTTAATTATGTCTCATTCAGCCTAGTAGTAACCCATGTTTCATACTTAATATATTCCCTGCCTTCTCAGCATTTAAACCCTTCACATAGCTGCAGGCTGTTATCATCTCTCTGTGTCTTTCACTCGCTTATGTACTGCTGCACATCTATAATTAACCTAAAACATCTTAAGTGTGCGCTGAAATGGTGGAATCATGAGGTGGCCACTGGGAGTTAGAGGTGCAGCTGCAACATCTTGTTATGAAGCTGAATTAGGCACAGGCAACGTAAGTGGAGAAGGTGAGTGGCAGCAAAAAAAATTGTGCTTCTCAGTCTCCGAGTCTCCAGAACCATTATTTGCCACATGCCACTTACAAAGAAAGGCTGTGACTCTCACTCCGATTACACTCTGCAGCAGAAAGAGAGCTCAGAGAGTGCTGAGAGATCCTAAAAGCACTGCAGCTGCAAGGGAGGAACGCCTGGCTTCCAGAAGTGCTGTGTGTCTCTCACAAACCAGAGCATGGCACGCACGACAGGGTAGGACCCCAGCATTCCATACTGTGAAGATTACAGTCTGTTCTGAAATCAAAGGCAGCTAGGGGAAACTGCTACAATTTAGGCTCCTCAGGCTGTCTTATGCCCTGAGGAACATGGAGTAGTTAAAGAGGGCAGAAATAAGTCCTGAGCACTTCGGCTGTTGCCAGCATGTGTCTCGGTTACCAGTCCTGTGCAGTGAGAGATAACTGCAGTACATTAGAAAGATGATTGACAGTATTTCAGTCTCATTTCTACTGTTTCTTTGGGGGTTCTTCCCAGTTACAAAATACATCAGACCTAAACATCAGAAAAGGTGGAACATGAAAAACATCTTTGTGTGTGCTTGTTCATTATCACACAATCATCATTTGATACTTGATGAGTCTCTGGCTGCTAATACAGTATCTATGAATAACAATTCCAAAAGCATAATTCCTAGATGTACCAGAGATAGTATGACATTATCTTACATTAGGTATAATTTAAAAAACAGTGCTTAAAGCTAAATTCTGCCCAGTTAAATTAAATTTGTGATTATTTTCATTTAAATTATATTTCCTTCTTGCATGTGACTGTAAAAAGCCCAGATTTGCAGGAAACATAATGAAATGACATGGGACTTCAGCATATATTTCATTAGTATATAAATTATCTAGATTAAGACCTAAATACTTAAAGATGACAAAGGAGAATAGTGAGAAAGAATGTAAGACACAGACTCAGAAATTTGCAGGCAAAGGCAGTTCCTCACCCTGATTTATGTCTCACTCCAGCTTCAGTTTCCTCCAAGCTCACTGCACCCTTATTTCTTTGCCATAGATCCTATATGTGACATGTTCTATAGAAAGAGATCAGGACTTCATAGCCTATCTATGTACTGTTTTTCAAATTTAGCATCACAATTGGTACCAAACCAGTGCCACGAGCAGATGTATATCAGTTATGGATGGTGGTGTTTCTAGCACACTTCTGTAACCTTTCAGTTTAGTCTAGTTCTCTGTAAGCCCTTCTGCAACGTCTCCGAGTCACAACCATCTGTAGTAATTCATGTCAAAGTCTGTAAAGACTGTTCAGAATGTTTCATTCTAGGAATTTATCTTTTCCATTCTTTACTGCTTCTAATGTCCCCCTTTTCATCAAGTTCCCTTACTTTTATGTTATTATCACTTTCTTACTATCCTCTGTTTCATTACCTTCCTTCTGTTGTAATTCCTATCTTTGTCTTCCTCACTACATATCTGTAAGTTCTCCAGTGCTATATTCTCCAGTATACATACATTATTGTGTGCAGCCACCTATATACAAAACCAGCAGACACCAACTCTGTGAAAAGGAATCAAACTGATGAAGAGTTTCCCAGAGAAATAAGAAGCATACCTTTCTTTTTTTTTTTTTCCCCAACTAGCATACAGTTATAGGAAGATGAAATGTACACATTTTGTCATTACTGGCCGGTCTTCTTATTTATACCACACTGCATTACTTTGATCTTACCAATGTACGTGAGCAGAAGTCTACCACAATGAGTGGGGTTCAATAATTTGAAACAAAAGGAATCTGAATCTACCAGCTGCTGCAGAGCACCGTGTGAGTTTCCAGATTGTTTCTCAGCTGCTTTTTGTTTTTCAGAATCAGAGACATATGCCTCATAATTACAAGAAAAGCAACAATGAAGCAGTCTACTCTAATTGCATTCTAGCTAAGGAGTTAACTTTTAATAAATGAAGCTATCAAATGCTGGCTTTTCTGCTAACCTCTCTATATGCTTTCTCTTTTATTGCACGTTAACACAGGAGCGCCTACATTTCTTAATCTGTATAAACTAAACAGAGAGGGAAGTGTTGCTTTACAGATGAGAAGCTAAGATTCAGCAGGATGAAGTGACTGAACTTACACTGGAAATTGGCAGTTCATGTAAGAACTGAATCCTACTTCTGAAGACCAGTTCCAGCTGTTGAATGAGAAGCACACCATTGTTCCAAGTATGAGTACATAAAGGCTCTCTGAATTTATGGTGTACACAGAAGCAGTTTGCTTTGCCACAATTGATAGACATATCCTTCCAAAGAAATATCATTTACAAGATTCTACTGCTGATGGTTTCTACTGCTGCTATTAGGAACACAAAGATATTTGATGAGTCTCATAAAAATGTGACGATTCCAACCCACAATTTTGCAAAGTGGTACGATGATTTTGATAAAAGCATCTCAGTTATTAACAAAGGAAGTAGCTGGACTATGATATATGGAGAAAACATTGCGGCAAGTGAATTCAAGGGCAGAACTGGAGGATGCTGAGACTGGCTTGTAACTTTCTGGCAAAATTATTTCTCTTGCTAAAAACCCACACATTCTTCGAGCTACATTTTACCCCAGAAGTTTTGTACTCCTGTGATAGGGGCACTTCTGAGTTACCTGTAGAACAGAATGCTTGATTTCCAATGTATTGGAATACTTTATTCTAGTTACTGTCATCCTTAACATAGGAGGTCCTGTTACTGGCTCAGCCAACTTAGTAATCATGAATGCTTGACACAAAGATGTTTAAAAGTCAAGTTTAAGTTAGCGTTTTGTATAAAGCTGTTCAACGTGCCCTGCAGGTAAATAGCAAACAGCAACGATGTACCCTTCCATTTAAAACATCTGTAAGACATCATTAAAATTTCTATTTATTGTCATTCTTTCTGTAAAGAATGGCCAGAGAGAAACTGTCCTGAACTTGGGAGCAATGATCCATTGCAGGTGGGGATTTGAATCATTACAAAAACCGGAAAACTTCTTCAAAAGAGGGTTAAAATGGAAAGGTTAAATTCATATTTAGGAACAGGTAATATACCTAAAATCTCTGTGATTCAAGTTCAGAGGAAGTACCAGATGGCATCAGTAAAATCTCATTGGCAAAAGTTCATCATTTAAGTCAACTGGGAAAAATGTTGCTGAACACAGAGTTTTAATCTGTTGCAGTAAGCATAGTAGATGTTCAGGGGGAAAAAAAAGGTCAATTTGATGGTTCATAAAGCAATTATTTTCCCATAAAATTTCTTCAAAAATAATACACAAAACACAACCAAAGACAGTAACCACAAAGAAAATCTCAATGTTTTCCTACTTTGCAAAATAGTATCAAAATATCAGGCCATGCAGTTGCCCTCAGAGAAACTACTCTCATGATAAGCAAATGTCTCCCATTGCACAGTGTCTTGCATAGATCAAGGTATTGGATAGACATTTGACAAAGCTTGACATGCAGAAAAATTAAAATACAGCATACTGCCTTTCAGAATGAGAAAAAATGGCCCTCAAACAAGGAACTCAGTAAAAATCAGTAAAAAAAAGAGAAGTTACTTGCTGGGTGAGGTTGCTAAGTCTCAAATCAGCCATCCTGTGAGGAGAATAGGGGCACACAGATGGGCTTGCATTGACATTATCCTCCAATAGAGATAGTGAGTGAGGACCAAGTTTTCTAAGGATTCAGACTATATTCAGACTGACTGACAGAGTAAAGGAGAAAACCCCCCATGTTTATTTAACTTCGTTTAACCGCATGACGTTTGGACACTGTATCTGCCAGGGCACTGAGGGCACCACAGCCCTGACTGTCCCTGCTTGTCCTACCCTGGGGCTCCCTTCACCCAGCCCACAGCCCAGGACCCCATGTTAGCCATGTTCCTGACCCCCATCTGAACCTTGACATCTCAGCCTAGCCTTGTCATTATGGACCTGTTGCCTACCCATGGATCTGAACCATGTTCTGTAGATTGACTTCCCAGATTGACATCAGACCTGCCTCACTACCATGATACTGCCTTTTGATCTGGACTCTTGCTTGGTCTTGGCCACCATCTTCAGACCTGTCCTTTTTGCCTCATTTGGGCACTGTGGGACTGCGACCTGGCTGGTGGGACACCTGTAGCCCTGCTGTCCCCTGCCTGCTGTGTTACCTGACACGGGATTCCCCATCTGCTGTAGAGAGGCCATACCAAGAGCCTTCCTGCTGATCCTGCTGGCTACACTACCTATTCATTGTTACTCTTTGCTTTTCTAGCCAATATATTACTTGCCTCTGCTCCCTTCACCACCATTCACAGAGGCTTTACATGGGCATTGGGTTAAAAAATAGAAAGCAGATACCCAGGATACCTTAAGTCAAGTAGAACTAGTAGATTTCAAAGTCATGTTTCATCTCTTGTTTTCTCTCCTTTTGCTTTTTCATGACCAGAAATACATGCAACAGAATGAGACAGAATTTTATTTGTTAAGCTTCAAAGGCATTATGGTGCTTAGGATGCTAAGAACTGAATAGAGCATTAAACTTGTATCTCACATTCCAGCAGAGTACTCTAACCTCTAATCTGTAATAAAAATGAGAAGGAATATCCTCCTCTATGTCCATGTCCTTTTTCACTCCCAGGTGGCATATAAAAATAAAACTGACAAAACAAACAATAAAAAGTCCTATTTAGTTTCTCAGGAAGAACAGATGCTCAATTTCTACAAGGATTTTAGGTTCTGGCTTCCAAGCAAACAGAGTATCTACCTCATAGCTTCTCCAGTTCAAGCACACTAACTCCAGAAAGGAATGAAGTTTCAGATACATTGCAGGATTTAGTGTTTCCTGTGTATTATCTCAATGTTCCAGTGCCTAAATAATCTCATGCATTTTAGGTGGTACCCACACACCTACGCCAGTCATATGCAAATTTTCTAGATCCTTGTCTGAGTGACAGGCAGCTAAGAACTAGGTACTGCAGCAGCACCAGCCTGCCTTACCTTTAGCACATTACATATATATTTTTTAAAGTAGCAATTAAAATCCATGGTGCTTTCAAAAATTACACCATTTTAAAGGTAAAGACTTTTAATGCAGAATCTCTTGTGAAATGTAAATTGTGTCAAAGCCTTTGGAAACAGAAGGAAACTACTTTGTCTTCTGTAGGACTTATCCACACTGTTTTGGTTTTCTGTCATTGATGGTCAAGCTGGTTCCCACTGAAGACCGTATGGCCAGTCAAGGTAAAATTATCTAAATGGATGCTGTAAGAATGAAACTGTTGCACCTATAACACTGTAGGGAATTCTAAGTACCCAAGTGCAAGAAAAATGGGAATTAACTACCAAACTACTTAATAAACTTTCATTGACTTTATAGGCTCTGGAATAAGCACAGGAAGAGTTGTCTATATATATTTTTTTTCCTATGAAATTAAGGACACAACTATCTATAGATAAAAGAAGACATAAATACCCATGGATAAAGAAATATTTATTTGGTAGAGCTATAACTAGCAAATTTACTTTAGCCTTTAATTATGAGTCACTGTGTACCTTACAAACCTGTTAATTCGGGTTGTCATCTTCAAAGGACACTGCAGGAGTTCAAACCCCAGCACAAACTGGATTATTCATATTAAACTAAGTGATTGAAATATTTTGTTGATTTGATTTCATTAGTACCAGGAAGCAGGTGAAATTCCATACAAGCATAAAATAAATTCAGGATTAAATAAATAATAGGATAACTACTGAAAATTACTGTCTAAGCATATTCTGAAAATTAGGTCAGTTGGGCTGGAAGCATATAAATGAAGTAAGCCCTTAAAGGTTGAGACATTAAGAGAAAAAGCTAAAATGTGTACTGTAGTTAGTCTTGTGCTATTGAACAACCTGCATCTATACTAAAGTCAGTAGCTTTCTAGCTCTTTAGAGGCCTTCCAATTTGGTATAATTAAGTTTTTCATATTTATTAGTGAATTTTAAACTCCAAAAATTCCTGTGAGGCTTTTATTCACAAGACAATGAGGTACAGATTAATTGACCTAACAATAAACAGAAGTAGCACTGCCGTGTTTTAAGCATCAGTTCAGTAGTCCTCAAATTTTCTACTTATCATCCCCACTCCTACTGGTGTTTTGCGGCATGCAATTTTACAGATTACTATAACAAGATCAAATAGTTGTCATAATGAAGAAATTGCTTTGCTCAGCCAGATTCTCCAAGCTGATCTGCTTGAAAGCTGTAAAGTTCTGCTGGTTTCAGCAAAGTTATACCCAGCCGAAGCCACAAAGGAGTGAGATTGTGAGCTCAATTATTAACAAGGAAATTAAATCTGGAAGTGTTTACCTTTAGGAAAAATATCTGGGCAGTATTCAAATGAAAAGAAAAAAGACAGTCTTGGAATTCAAATGAGCACAGAAACGTACGTGGGTTGAAAATCACAACTTTACATAAATTCTTGTTTTGCTTCCTGCTTCTGGAACTGGTAGGAAAATGCAGGTAGATATAAAAATGTCACCACTGCCAAAACAACTAATGCGATGTCATAGGTGAATTAGTTACTTAACCTGGGAAAAAGTCATGTGGGATAGATGAACTCTAAAAAGAAGAAAAGATCTAGGTCATACATAGGTACCACAAAAATCTGAGTCAGGGAAAAGAATGCTACAAAGGTGACTGTTGGGTAAATATGTCTGCAAATAGAATTCCAATAAAGCTAAACATGAGGTTATTGCTTTTGAATATTCATGAGTTTGGATGCCCTTTTATTTGTAATGCATATCATTTATATGATCATACATCAGGCTTTGTCAATTCTTATCTGTCATGCATCACTATGCTTACAGGGCATGAAAGAAAATTAATTTTAAAGTATTACGAAACCACATCTTACTTAGCAACACTCTCTGTATTTATTTTGAGACATTCTAGATATTTTTTATGTTTCTGTCATTGCAGAATAGAAGAAGAAAGTGCAGCAGGGCTACTCGTCCTCAAGTACGTGGTGCCATTCAGAATCAAGACTTATAACCAACAGGACATATTTCTCACTGTATAATTACACACTAGCAATACAGACCAAAACTGTTTCCAATACTAACACAGAACTGCATAAGAACTTCTGTTAGAATGAAGTTAAAAGAACTTCTATTGCAGAATTAATAATGAAGGAAGCTTAGACTGGGTTAAAACATAACAGGAATTCTTTCTATCTAGCAGCAGAATCATATATGGGCTTGCATAAAAGGGTGACCAATTTGCAAATGAATTTCATTTTTTACTTTAAAAGGATGGGCAAAAATAAACAAGAAAAGTCAGAAAATAAAGAAGTGGAAGATTAATTGGAGAAATTATTGTTTCAACTAACTATTGCTGTGCTAGCTTTTCTGAACACATTACAAAATCTGCTTTTATCAGTTATGGAAAAAATATCAGCAAACTAGATACACTTACAGAACTCAGGTGCTCTTTGGAAGGTGTGTTTGGGGGTACTGATGCTTGTTTTGGGAATATCTAGAACAATGGTTTCCAAGTGGGGTTCATGAAACCCAAAGGCTGCACAAGGCAATCCATTGGGGTGGAGGAGAAAAATATTTTTTGTAGCATTAATAAATAAAAAAAAAAACCTTTAAAAATAGTGTTTCTTTCATCTTTATCTCATTCTCTTTTTAATTTCTATCATTGTGTATAACATACAGAATGTGTTAGTACAGTATTAGCTGTATATAATTTATACATTAATAAATACACATATATTGGGGGTACCTGTTCAAAAACTGTTTACTGATAGGATGTACAATCAGAAAAATTTGGAGACCACCAGCTTAGGATGCTTACTGCTGAAGGTCAACAACAAAAATAGGATGCAGTCCGAAATCTGATCAAGGGTGGCTGAACAAGTGAACTTAATAACATAAGGTTTAACAAACAAAAACCACAACAGCCCCTTTAGACATACTCAGCACAAGGACTTCTACAACAGTTAAGGTCAGGCATAAAATCAACTTTATAAATACAAAAGGAAATTCAACAAAATAAAGTACATAAAAGGGAGGGTAGAAAACATAATGAAGGAAAACAAAACCAATAAATGAAATCCTAAATCAAATAAAGATAAAAAATCTCACAGGAAAAATAAGAGGATGCAAATTATGATTAATTAAATAAAAAAGCAACAAAAATAGGAAAAAAAGAGGAAAGAGGTAAGAACAATAAAGATGGACAATTAGATTAGGATTGAAAGAAAAGAGGGAAGAATGGAGGTTATTCTGGCCAACATTCACATCTCTCCCTCTTGCTGGATTCCAAGACTCATTGAAGTCTAAAAGGATTTGAGCAATCATCTCCCAGTTTCTAATTTGAGAGATATGGCGAGGATAGATCAACTGAAAGACATGCTCATAAAGATCATTTGGTATTTAACTCACATTGTATCTCTCACAAATCCTTCTGGGACCCAGGGTCATGGACATAGCCCTGACACAACAGGTTCTCTGTGGTACCAACCAGATATGTAATAGAAGCAAAATGAAGAGCAAAACCACTAACGTTCCAGTATACCCAGAATGTAGCTGTGAGGATTAAGCAGTAAATAAAAAATGTTTGTGCATTTCAGGCTCCATTTTACCAGCTTCCAAATGCAATTGGAAGTCACACAGTAACTTTTATGACTGAGAAGATAATTCAATTATAACATTGATTTCAGAAAGCTTAATTGTATGCAGAAAAAAAAAAAAAGTTACCACAGACAGGTATTTCAAAAATAGTTTTTAACAAAATCTGTTTTTTCAGAAGTTTGTTTCAATTCCATTTGATTATTGTGGAGCTTTAAGAGAGGGAGAAAAGAGAAAGTATCCATGTCATTCTGTTTGTGCTGAATAAGTATAAAAGATATTCTTTTGTTCCAGCATTTAGAAGGCTCCTTACAGAGAGTCTGTCATAGGAAGCACATGCTAGGTTTTGGGCTTGAGTTTGGGTACATTTATTTCTGTTATTTTCCATATCCAGAACACATACTGTGGTCAATCTAAAGCTGATTTTTCCACCTTCTATATTAACATGCATGAGAGATGAATGTTTAATGCCTAAGTTTTAGCTGCCAGCTCTGCCCTAGCAAGGATTCACAGCTCCTGCGTTCGTGTTAATTCACAGGGTAAGTTAAATATTTCAGAGAACAGAATCAGCAAAAAATAAAACCTAAGCAGTGAACCACCTCAATCAGTGTTGTGTTTCCTCTGATCCTATCCTCTAAAATATTAAACATCTATGTACCATCACCTAATTCAGCATAAGATGATGCTTGCTGGTTGAGGACAAATGAGGACAATGGTCTTTTGGAAATACAATTTGTCTCCAAAGCTTAGATGCCCTCTCTTACCAGTCTACATTCCCTCACTTTCTGAGGGCTCAAGCCCCTTGCAATTCTCATTGAAAGAAACAAAAAGTACTTCAGTTATGGCCAACTTTATTTTACAATGATTTTTTAATAGCAGTATCTTATTGGTAAATAGCATATGTAGTACTCCTGTGTTCCTACTGTGGTACACTAACTCCCAGAACAAAGCTACAGGAGATTCTAGGCAGGAGCTCCTACAGGAGGAAGTATGGCTAGATATAGACAAGATTGGATCTCTTGCTACACCCCAGTGATTAGGTGCTTAATCAGAATGAGAGATATTTTGGGGCTGTTTCTGTACCTGTTCTTCCCCTTCAGCACAAGTAATTGTTGTCTGTAAATTCTGTAAACAGTTGAGATTGTTGGCTAAGCTGTAGGCTAGGGAAGACAGACTCACTGATTTCCTCAGGGGTGTTGATGTAGCCTTCTTTACCACAGTTTCCCAAGGGTTCTAGAAAACAAGATGATATCCACATATGAGAAGCTCTGGAATATGTTTGATGATATTAAAATCCAAAGCATCACACCCAGAATAATGGCAAGACCCGTGCTAAAGAAAACACATTAATCATTAGTTAATCATTAGAGGACCATTCCTGACTTTGGGTACTTGACTTTGCAAGCATGATAAAATTTGCACAAACATCCTGGGGAGGCTAAAACCCAGAAAGCTGATATTCAGTAGGACAGCATATAGCAGCACTATGGCTTGTCACTCACCCTCATGCCTTAGAACTTCTTCAACCAAGAAGAAAAGAAGAGTAATTGTGGTGGATGACTCCCTTCTGAGGGGAACAGAAGGGCCCATTTGTCAACCAGATCCATCCCACAGGGAAGTCTGCTG